GTCAATACTACGGCACTTAAATACACATTTTAAGAAAACTGTCTTTTTCTTAGCATTAGTTAGGTCTCAGAAACAGCAACATGTCGATATAATGAAGAAAAATAAGTGCAAATGATCGCGCAAGAGAGTATCCTTAGCTCCCTAGCAACCACCTAGCAACGTAAGGCAAAATAGTAAACAACTCCTGTTGATATCAGGTACTCAGCCTTGGAAGCACAGTAGACGGTCACCATACTGGGTTTCATACTGAATTTTGCATACCAAAATGGATGTTTCCAACTAAAATTATTTTTTCGTGAAATTCATCTTTGTTGCCCTACTATTTTTCGTAAAACCGAGATATACAAACTTAATATCAAAAATAATATTGTGATAATGAAAACCGCCATATAAAACAAGATAATTGCTGAGATCATGCCTACCTACCTACCCCCCTTGGTCCTACCCCCTAATTCAATATACCCTGGTTTTGTCGAAAAAAAATAATACCCGCCACGCAGTTTGCAGAGGGCTGTACCTCGAATGGCAAAGAAGCGTCTCAAAGCTAGTTTTACGTCATCGGTGTGTTGTGATTTGACAAGTTCCAGATGCACTGCCCTGGACGTGGCGCACGTTATAAGGACCCAAGATTTCGTGCCAGCAGCAGTGATCAGGGGCCCGAAAAAAAATCCCAGTCCAACCTTTGCGAAGGCGCGGCACGGTTCAATGCGGAAGGACGGCAGTCCCCCATCCGCGGCACGGTAACTACTCGTGCCTTTTTTCCTTCGTCGCTGGGCTGTTTCTGTCGCCCGGGACAGGTCTCGTCTGTTTCATTGTAACCAGGCAGTTGTGGAGAGCGCGGCTCACGGTGGCGTTTAAAACCTGTGGCTTCTCCGGACAGGTCTCCCGTAGAATGTTGTTGAGACGCTGCAGGGTGGTGGTCGGGTTTGACTCGATGATCATCAGTAGAAGATCCCGCATTTCGTCGTCGACCTTGACGTGTCGGCTGCCGCCTCTTGGCCTTGCTGCCGTTTCCCCTGTTCTTGCCATTTGGCGACAACTGACCAGGCGGTTGTGCGTCAAACCAAGTTCCTGAGCCACTGCGACGTAGCCTCTGCCGTCATGAAATGCGTCAACGATTCTACGTCGGTCGGTCCTCGGCGCACACCGACCCGTTCTGACAACGTGGCATGACAGCTGCCGCCCTTTATTACACTACACAGTACACGTGAGACGTATGCGCATACGCGAGATCGTATTTATACAGGGTGATCCATAAAATTTGGAACCCCTAACTTAAAATGTCTTAAAAAGTCCGAAAGTACCGTAAAGTGGGGTGTTAAAGGACAGTTTTGACGAAGCGAGCGGATCCTTTCCCATATAACGGGAAAATCTCAGTATGAGCGGCCCGACCCGGCCTGTAACGCTTATGCGAGCAACCACTTGACCGATTTACATGCATAACAAAACCTAAAGAGTAAAGAGCTTATCTTTTTCAGTGTTTTAAACGTAGTTAGTCACCCCAATAATTTTGCAAGTTAAAAAAATGCAAGCATCTAAGTTGAAAACGTGGCAGTCACCCCCGTTAACGGAACTTTTATTGTTGGCCTCTCACTGTTTGAGTTCGGTCAACGGTCACTCACTGTTTGCGTTTGGTCACCACCCACTGTTTGGGTTGGTAGGGACCACACACTGTGTTTGGCCAGTGTTTGTGTTTGATCACTCACCTCACTGTTCGTGCTTGGACACCGCCCACTGCTTGGATTGGTAGGGACCACACACTGTGTTTGGCCAGTGTTGGTGTTTGATCACTCACTGTTTGCGTTTGGTCACTCATGGTTTGGATTGGTAGGGATCACACACTGTGTTTGGCCACTGTTTGTGTTAGTTTAAGTGATCACTAACTGTTTGCGGTTGGTCACTCGCTGCTTGTTTTTGTTTACTCACTAGAGATGACGATCGGATACCAACTTTTTGGTATACCAATACCAAACCGATACTAACTTGGTATTTGGTATTTCAAGGCGAATGCATTTGGTATTTCGTTGGTATTATGAATCCTCAATAATGTTAAGGAGGCTGATCATTTGGTTAAGAGTTGGTATTTTACTCACATTCCCAAGTCGGTTTGGTTTCGGTATTTTTCCAGGGGCGCCGCCGACGGGGGGGTCGCGGGGGTCGCGACCCCCCCCCCCACTCATGAGAACCGGGGGGTCGACCCCCCACTTTTGGCGATGCTGAGTATGCTTTTTTGAGCTATCATGTCAGTGAAGTTGGCGTCAGCAACATCAACAAATACAATGTAGAATCGCTTCAAGAGCTACCTAGACCCTATCGCTTATGGGTCAATAAGCTGTGGGCGACTGGAACATCAGCATGACAATATTTTAAAGTAACCACTATTCTAGTCCCTTTTATCCCTCATAGGAGTGAGCGCGCCAAAACTGACCCAACCGCTCGTCTGATTGTCAAAATAATGGTTGCAGCCGATTCGTCGGATGACGTAGGCATCAGTAACTACGAGGTACGGCTCTCGCGAGATTAAAGGGACTATCCCACCTTTAACATAGGGTTTGAGTTGAGATAGCCAAGTTTGCGGCGAGGTTCAGAAACCACTATCTATCTAGGTTGCAACCCCCGCGGCCTCTTGGTGTTGAAGAAATTCGTTCCCTTCATTTGAAAATGGGCCTTGCGCAAGGCCCTATCTTCAACATGGAGCGACCGTTAGTGTGACGTCACCTTGTTTAGTCATTCTGATTTAAATGGGTTTGTTCGTCGAAAAATCGCTTAAAACTTGGTCTGAACTTTGTTGTGGTGCCTACAGAGTAAAAAGAATCAGCTTTATGACAGTAATGTGGCCTGGGGAAGGAGGTAATTTTGGGCTGTGACGTCACATATTTGACAGTTTGTGTTTGGAATATGGGAAGCCCAAGATGTTTAATGAAAAATAAATGCCAGAACCGTGTTCCTGGTCATCCAATCTATAAAGTCGGGCACAATTTAACTGGTTTTAACAACATTTTAGAAGGTGGGATAGTTCCTTTAAGCGGTAGGTTTTGCACTTTTACATTTCCGGTTATATCTCAGAAACTAATCGATCTACGATGAAGCCATTTTACACGATCATGGCCGGCTTGTGAACCAACAAGTCAATCGCATCTTCAACACTTAAAAGCTTAAGACGACGACGATATAGCCTGAAGGACACTAAATTTTCTAGGTGCAAAACCTACCGCTAAAACCCGCGAGACCTGTACCTAACTAGCCTCAGCCCTGACTACCCTCGGACCTGCCTGCATAGGGGGAATGGGGTCAGATGGTGGACCCCTCTCGGGCTTTCCCAATAAGACGCGCAAAAAGGAGCCTATTGCAACGAAACTTCCAGTGGCCTCGAGTTTATCAATTTTACACCTACTCTACAAATTTGTTGACCCTGATTCGAATATGGCTGACCTTGGTTCACTTTTTTTAGTTTTATTTGCTTCCACTTACAAGTGTAGTTTTTGGAACTGATTTCGAGCTTAGCGCCGGTTTGAACAAGTACCTAGTTTTGATAAATAGTTATGTAACATATTACGAAGTTATCGTTGATGGTTGTCACTTGTCAGTTGTCACCCACTCTAGATGGCCGGCAGGAAGCCTGCTGGTCGACCTGACCTGACCCGACCCGATCTACTCCAAATGCATGGAGTCATCATCTTTGTTCATATGTAACATCGAAATCGTACTCGGGACCCCGATAACAGCTACGGCTCACAAAGTTCTAGCAGGCCAGATTTTCCCTTCTTTTTACTTTTGGGCGTTGACCTAAGATCCGGCCAAGACCTTGAAATTGGGCATCATCGGCGTTCTCTCATCACGGGCAGCATCCTCGCTTTTCCGCGAAGCTCTACCTCGATCAGGGGCCGAAAGCATACTTTAGCGTTACGTTGGTAAACGTTTTACCTTAGCGACCCGTACCTAAAACACGAATAAGAGCTACAGCGACACAGAAAGCGTATTCGATAACTTTTTTAAAGCTCTTTCGCCAACTTCGCCTCAGATGTGACTTCGGGTCTATGGCTGGTGTACCACAGAGGCCAAACAGCTTAACGGACGGATTTTCAACAACCTATGATTCAGCGAATGTGTATGATATTTATGTTATCACCATCGTGTTTATTTCGTCGAAACACGTCGCATGGCTTACAATTTGAACTTGAAAATTTAACTAGAAAACTTGACATCAGGTAAAGGTCATGTCCTGACCGGAAAAGAACCTGCTGCATATGGATCGATCTGTGTTGCTGAGCTGAACACACTCCAGGTGCTGTCATCGCTCTACAGCGTCTCCATAGAAAGTTGTTGTCGAAAATGTGTTGGAGACCTTTGATGACCTAATGACTGACCAATTGACCATTCGAAATTCGAATCACCATCTGGTCATTAGTTGCACCTTGTCTCTAAAATGAGCAGAGGTGCCATGGCTACAAAAGTATCTAGCGTTTTTAGCATATTCGTTCAAAGCAGAGGGCATTCGTGCTTTTTTCCCATATCTTATCATGATTGGTGAGGTCACATATTTGACCAGACTTCACTTCTCAGATGTAAAATCCCAGATTCATGAACTGTTGGCACTTAAAATCTCATTCATTACACCAAATTTCAGACTTATAGGAGATTATCTATAGGAATGACAAGATTGCAGTTTTTTTGAGGCATTAAAACTAAGCTTGACATGACATTGTGATCTGACCTCAGGTGACCTGTGCTTGATGTCTATGCACGATGCAAAAGCGAGGTACAATAAGATATACCGCTGCTGTCGTGGCGCTGCGCGCCTTTGTTTTTCTCAACACACGAAAAAAAACAGGAGTGTGGCTAAAAACACCCCTACCCATTAAGACGAAGACCGGTAACCCGACCCCCCCCCCGCGCTCAAAAATCCGTGGCGACGCCCCTGTATTTTTCCATGGATATTATTCGTATTTGGTTTGGTATTGGTATCACGATTTTCAGTAATTGACATTACTATTACTCACTGTTTGTGTTGGGCCGATAGAGCAGCGCGCGGGATGGCGCGCCCCGCCCGGCTTGGGTGACGGCCGCCACCCACACCTCGTAGCTTTGGTAGTGGTCTAGATCCCTCAGCTCCATCATCAGTCGCTGTTCTGCAGAGCTCTCGAAACGGCGCTGGTCCGGGAACATCGTCACACGGTCAGTCACCGGAACATGGTAACAAAGCCACAGCCGTATGTATGTATACGGCAATGCACACATGCCCATGTCCGTATCTCACTGTGTGTCCAATAGCACATATGAAGTCACACGAAAAGGCGGGGCCTAGCGCAACGGGCGTCATATTTGAATTTGTTTTATATGAAAATGTATATTTAGGGTGTCATTTTACAGGGTGTCCTAGAATGGACCGAACATTTAGATCTGGCTAAAAGTACGATATTATTATCCAGAGTCAGCAAAGAGTAGTCCTTGGAGTAGTCCCTTTTCGTTTTTAGCCTTAGCTGCCAAAAGGCAATCATGGCGAATCAAGTGCCGTTCTCAACTTTGTAAGCTGACTTTCGGCATGGTTCTTGCTGGAGAGCTCCAGCAGCTCATCTGCAAAAAGGTAGGAGTGTGCAAAGCGAGTTTATATCAGCGAGCGAAGCCAGAGAGAGCTAACCTGATCGACAAGCCCGGGTGCGACCAAAAAGGAGCATGCATCATTCGTCAAGCGGGTGGTTGCCATGTCATGGACAACAAACGTCACCCATCTACCCAAAAATATAAGTTAAACGACAGATTAGGGTTACATGAGTCTACTTTTGACCACTACCTTCCACAAAATTTTGGATTTTGGGGCCCCTCACCTAAAAAAATATGCCATAACTAACGGAAAGACAGCGCAAAACGCTATGAATCAGCCAGGAATCATAACAAATGCAACAAAAAAGTGAATGGAAACACACTTTGTGGTCTTACGAAGGTATTCTGCAATATGAACCGACAAAAAAGTCGTGTGTGGACGTCAGATGGTGACAACGCCCCAACAGCGGAGACGGCCAGAGACCCGCCGAAAATCAAAGTGTGTGACATTTTGAGCCACGGTGCACTCATTCAGCTTCACGTGATGCCCCAAAGACGACCGTTAACACAAATTGCTACAGGCCCATGTCACTCCACTTTTGATGACATCATAAGGGGGCCTCAGGACAATAATGGCGCGGTGCGCCACAATTGCTTCCAAGCTTCTTGCCAACAGCTGTCATTTTTGAAAATATTATTTTAAAATAAAGTTACAAGTAATAAAAATGTTGCAATTAAGTTAATTAAATCGATACCGTATCAAAAAAACTTACTGAAAAATGATTTATTCATAGTAAAAATATAATCTTGATGCGTCTTTACGTTGCTTTCCTGCTACTATCGTCTATATCTTCAAAACCGGCCATTTCTTAGCATTTTGCCGCTCTTTTTTGTCGCTAGAAAATTAGTTGAGCTTTCCATTGACATCAACATTCAACGGTGGAGCGGTATGTGTAGAGTGGCATCAATAATTTTCAAATGAAGTTAGTCATTTTTACGTTTTCAAGGAATAGAGTACCCCTTGCAAGCATCATGGGTGACGTCACTCAGGACTTGTCTCTGATTGGTCGGCGGGGGAGGGACTGTACCTATTATACAGGGTGACCCAGCAAAAGCGGGCCCCGTGCTAACTTTGTGCTATAGTTCCTATAATAATTGACCAAATGGGTTTATTTTTCAGGACATGGCAGAAGCAACACCTGACAACTCAAAGAAACCTCACTGGAAGCTAGATCACAGAATATACAGTGTAAAACACTACTACAAGACAAGCTCGTTTAAGAAAACTCAGGAGACTTTCTTACATGAGTTTGAATGTCAGAAAGCACCCTCCAAGCAGTGTTCTAAAATTGGATATTGGTTGGGTGTGCCGATGAAGAAAAAATCCTAGGATGAAAAAAAGAAAGTAAATAACTGCAGTATTTTTGCAAAATGGTGTAATGCCAATTTTTATGCTAACTGATAAACCAGGATTTCATGTCAGGATCTTGACAGGGTGTGGAACAAAAGGATGTGGGTGCATCAACTGTCAAGTGACAAGTGAACTGGCTGTTGGAATACATGAAACTCTTTTCAGAGATGAAGTAAAGTTGGTCATTCATATTTTAGGGATGAAAATATTTTCCCCATTAGGTGTGATTTGCCACCAAAAAGGCTGAAAAATGAAACACTGCCTCCAAGAGCAGGATCCAGAACTGGGTGGACCACTTTGAGAAGTTTGGAACCGTTGAAAGCCTCAACGCAGCCAGTGAACGTCGTCCAAGCCACTCAGGAGGTACGAGCAGGAAGCGCACAGCCGAACTTATCGAGAGTGTGAGAGAGTCAGTTCAGCAGAGTCCGAAACGCTCCTTGCGCAAACGAAGTCAGTCTCTCGGTATTTCCCGTGAAACGTGCAGGAGAGTACTTGTTAACGATATGAAGGCTTATCCATACAGGATACAGACAAAACAGACTCTCACGGTCTCAGACAAAGAGAAGAGAAAGGCTATGGCAGTGAAGATGTTGGAGAAAATGGAGGAAAGCCCAGAATTCCTGAAGTTCATCTGGACCTCGGATGAAGCTCACTTTAACCTTGAAGGGAAGGTGAATTCGAAGACAAATGTCTTTTGGGGGACCTCCAAGCCTCAAGAAGTAGCCACCACGCCTCTGCATTCCCCTAGGTGCACGGTATGGGCTGCAATCTCAGCAAGAGGAATCATCGGACCAATGTTCTTCGAGGAATCTGGAGCGAGAGTGACCGTCACCAAAGAACGGTATGTTGAAGTCCTCGAAGCCTTCAAGAGCGAGCTATATGCGCTCTATCCATCGCTTATGAACAGGTTCTGGTTCCAGCAAGATGGAGCAAGCTGTCACACCTCGAAGATGTCCCGAGATTGGCTGAAAAAGAACTTCGGACGTCGTATGATCAGCCTGAAGACTGATTTTGAGTGGGCGCCCCATAGCCCAGACCTGAGTCCCCCAGACTTCTTCCTCTGGGGCTATCTCAAGGACCGGGTGTACTCAGAGAAGCCCAGGACCATCACCGACCTCAAGGAAGCCATCAGGGAGGAGATGAGAGCCATTCCTCGGTCTGTGTGCAAGGCCGTCATGGACAACTTCGTGCTGCGCCTCAAGAAATGTAACGAGCTAAATGGAGGACATCTCGAGCACATGCTCTAGATTGAACAAGGAGAGGTTGTTGTTGTTGTTGGTGTTCCCCTCAGGGCCGGCTGGGGCCGGCCTGTAACCCCATGAGGGGCTCCTTGTGGCGGAGGTAGCCGGCGGCCAAGGCCGCCACCAGCTCGCCGCCCTTCAGCTGCTCTGGTCGAATGTGGATGTTGCCCGTCAGTCGCACGCGGGCGCCGGCCAGGCACGGGCACCTGAGCAACACATGCTCCGGAGTGTCGGCGCCCTCTCTGCACACGATGCAGCGGGCTGCGGGGCACGCCTTGAGGTTGCACTGCTGGCAGGTCGGGATGGGGCGCCGCCCGATACGGTGCAGATACTGTTCCGAGCGACCCCAGTGCCCGGCCCGCAGCTGGTGGACGTTGACGGCGGCATCCCGGTCGAGGTTGTTGAGCGGAGCCGGCATACGGTCCCGCATGATGTCCTTGAAGAAGCTGGACGGCCATTCCTGTCGCCAGCGGTGGGAGGCGCAGCGTGCGACGGCCTTCGTTAGCGTCCTCACGTCTGTTGCTGCTGCCTCCTGGGGTAGGCCGGAGGCCTCCTTGGCCAGCTCATCGGCCCTCTCATTTTCCCGCAGGCCGCAGTGCGCCGGGACCCACTGGAGGCGGATCGGTGACCCTCGGCTGGAGAGAGCGAGTAGGTCCTCCCAGATGGAGATCCCTAGGTGAGTCGTCTGGGAGGAGGCGCCGCTCTCCAGCATCCTCAGGGCGGCCTGGGAGTCGGTGCAGATGACTATTGGGTCGTCTGCGATGTCGGCGTCGGCGTCTCGGATGGCGTTCAGGGCCGCCTTCAGGGCACACAGCTCTGCCCGCGTACTGGAACAGAGCTGGCCCGCTGGGACTCGGACCTCCCGAGTCTCTCCCGACGGGAAGGTGATGGTGGCACCGCCCCCGCCTTGGGAGACGCCTCCCTCCGCCGAGCCGTCCGACCATATCCAGGTGGCGCGGGGCGGCAGATGTTCCAGTGTGGCCTCTGCCGCTCCCCTCCGTATGTGCGCAGGGGCCGCTCTCTGGCCGCCGGGGCCGACGTCCAGGCAGAACGTCACGGCTTCTCCATGGTGGTCCCACGGTGGGATAGTCTTTGTAGGGCGTCCTTCCACTTTGACGTCGGCCGCGCCTGTCCAAGCCAGGGCGCGGTGGCCGACGTCACGCCATCCGGTGGTCGTCCTCAGGCGGGGCGCGACGTGCATCTCCCCGACGGCGTGGAGCGGGTCGTCGCCGGGCAGCGAGGCGGCCAGGCCCACCATGCGGGCGGCCAGCGCCGGGCATCGTACTCGCGCCGGCGGGATGCCGGCCTCGGCCATCAGCGGCGCGGTCGGGGTCGAGGCCGTGCAGCCAGTGACCGCACGGGCCGCCGCTCGCAGCTCCCGCTCGATCAGCTCGACGTGAGCTTCAGACGCCGCCGGGAGCCACGCCGCTGCCGCGTACTCCAGGGCGCCCCGAACGTATCCGTTGGCAACGGTCCGTAGTTGCGCCTCCTGGAGGCCCCAGCTGCGACCGGTCAGCTTCCTCAGCTGAGCCGTCCTGGGCTTCACTTTCCGGCGCAGGTTCTTGCAGTGTTCCCCGAAGTGGAGGAGTCTGTCGAAGGTGACTCCTAGGAGTCTCAGGTATGGGGATCCTTTGACCGATGTTCCGGCCACCTTGATCTGGAAGTCCTTGGCGTCATGGGACCACTGGGAGAGGACCAGGGCCTGGGTCTTCTCCCCGGCGATCACCATCTTCCACCTGTTGGCCCACCTGACCATCGTGTCAGCTGCGATCTGGGCTCGTTCTCTTGCCGTCTCCATCCGGCAGCTACCGCTCAGTGTGGCGGTATCGTCGGCGTACATGAATACGCTGGTACCCGGGACGCTCCTCAGGTCGCTCACCAGGTCGGCCGACCACAGGGTGTACAGGGTCGGTGCCAAGACCGAACCCTGAGGGAGGCCCGCTCTGAAGGGGCGCTCC